AGGATGTCACTGTGGCTCTGAGTGACCACATCAGTGCCAGCCCCGTGGTGGCATTGCATGTGGGGATGTCCCTTGGCTCTTGCACCAGCTTGGCCCAAGACGGAGGCCCTCCAGGGCCGGGGATGCAGATCAGTGCTTGTTCTCTGTGTTCCTCCGTCGCGTGGCACGGTGGCCTCTGACTGCCGCAGGGCGGTAGGTGGCAGAGGCAGGAGGGCGATGGCAGCCATGCCTCTGTCCTGCGCGACCATCTCGTCACTGCTTTGCCTCTCCATGCCCAGGCTCTCATCCCATGCCATAGCCAACCCCGCGCCATCTCCAAGACTTGGACCAGGCTCTCATCGTCTTTCTTGTCCATGCTGCCGCTCCCGTCCCAGCGGAGCCGTGGCACTCCTGGACCCTGCTGCGTGCCTGGGGGAGGTGAGAGCGGTGGGAAGGAGCGTGCTCCCCACCGAGCTCTGCGGTGATTCAGGTCCCAGACCACACGCTGCTCTGCACAGAAATAGATTTTTCACTGTTCCTGATGCTAAAACGGAAAGCAGTAGGTTACAGACCCAGGGCCCTCTGGTTCTCCTGGCATGGACAAATTGTTTTTCTAGTGCTCATTTATTCATCCTACATTTCAGAAGTAACCCCATAGAAAATTAACCCAGTAGGGCCTCTCGGCGCCTAAGGAAGAGTTTTACAAATAATGCAAACCCGGAGAATGTGGACAAGGGGCGAGAACTCGCTGCATCCCAGCCAGACGTAGCACGAGGCACCTCTCCAGCAGCACGGTGTTGAAAGAGCGACAGAGCTGGTGTAACCGCCTCTCCTTTACAAGCAGCCATGGAGGCTGTTGTCAGTTGAAGGCTGTTTCATTAGCCCCGTCCGGAGCTGTTCTGTGCATACGGTATCGATCCGTAAGCGCTGGCATTAGCAAGCATGCCATGTAGCAGAGTTTGTGTAATGTGGATCAATACTCATTAGGTGCAGAGGGCACAGAGCTCTGCAAGCAGCAGCAGCCTGTTTGGTAGCAGAGTTTCTTCCAGAAGGACACCAGTGAACTCCGGCTGACCTTCGGAAAGCCCTGGCCAAGTTGTGTTTGCAGATCTTTCCTCCACCCACCCCTATTGTCCTCTGAAAGTTTCTCTCAAGATGCAAAATCCTCAGAAGGCGTCTCCAACCCATAATCTGCACGTTTGACTTGTGTGTTTACAGCGGCAGCTGCAAACCATGGTGAAACTGCTTGCTTGTAGCTGGTGGTGTTAAATGCCGGTTGAGAACAAAGGGTTCCCCTTTGGTGGCCATTTCAGTAGAAGTCCATGAACCTCCCTTCTGCTCCCTCTGTGAGTTCATCTGCTGACCCGACTTCCAGACTGTCCCAGCACAGGTCAGATGTCCTGCTGTACTTCTTCGGAGAAGGAAGAAAGGGGCAGAAGGACTCGTGCAGAGTGGGCTGAGCTCTGTTCACGGACATCCTTTCCCCGTGGCCTTCACCCGCTGCAATGACCCCGGGTGGCCACTGCTCTGAGCAGCCACCACCGGTCAGCGCCCGAGCTGGAGATGCAAGAAAAAGCCAAAAGCCCCAAGCTGGGGGAGGATTTATAGCAAGTGATGTTCCTGAATCCATACTGAAACTTCTGATTTAAAATTCTGGAAATAGAAGACCAGACTGGCAGATGGCAGAGGAAAGCCCCCAGCCCCAGTGAGGGGATGAAACCAGTCCCCAGTCCTTCTGAGTGCAGAGCCTCCCGCTCTGCTGCTGGCCCCGACGGGGTTTCTCTGCTGACCAGAGGTTTGAATGAAGGAGCATGTCCCCAACATTTCTGACTTGTTAGCTTGAATTCCCTTGACCAAGTCATCCAGATCCCGTGCGTTCATCCAAGGAACTGTTCACTGCAGTTTATAATGAGCCAGGATGGAGGGGAACTAGCTGGAGATTCACCTCCTCAACCTTGTAATGTGGTTGGAAAATATTTAGGCAATGCCAGTGGCAGTCCCTGCCCAGGCTGGGACCGAAAAGCAGCAGCCGTGGCTCCAGCTCACTGACAGCGGGCCAGCACTGCTCCCTGAGCTCCCGCAGCCCCACAAACAAACCCAGAGATGAGCTGCTGAGATGTCGAGCGTTTAGACCTCTCCAGCATCGTAGGTGTAGTCTCAGCCAAAAAAGAAACCTTTATTCTCCAAGAAGGCACCTGTGTGACCAAAAGCAGCGTTTCAGTTTGCAGATCTGGTTCTCCACAGCATCTCCACAGCAAGCACAAAGACAGCTCAGGAAAAGAGGCTGAAGAGTCGAGTGGGAATCTCAGGTCACGTCCTCCTGGGGCGACGGGACCGGCTCAGAAACCTGGGCGATGCTGCAGCGCCCTGTTGTACGTCTGTTCCGTGGGGATGGCCCAGGGAAGAACTGGGCTTGTCAAAGGCTGTTTGACCCAAAATAACGTGAGGGGCAGGACAGGAGGTGTTCCTGCCCCCCAGCCCCGACCGCTCTGGTGCCTCTGACTTGGTCGTTGCTGTTTGAGCAGCGTGGGAGAGGGCTTGCTTGGAAGGAATTCTCTCTCGCCAGCTTCATGACCATTTCTGTTGCAGGTTTTTCTTTTGTCATGGTTGTATGTTTCATTGTAGGCCCCTTCTCCTGTGAACCCCAATGCCCTGGACCGCACTGCTGCTTGGCTTTTGAATATGAACATGCAGTTTTTAGAAGATGAAAGCATTGACCCAGATTCCAAGCACAGGGATAAGCTCAGGAATAAGGACGAGCTCAGCCAAGCAGAAAAGGTAAAACCTGATTGGATTGAAACAAGTTGCTAAATAGAGAGAGGATTTCCTTGAATGTCGCTCATCTGAGCACCCTGGGGACAAGGTGGGCTGTGTGGCACGTCCCTGCCCAGGAGAGAGGGGTGGCAGGATGCTCTGTGCCCTGAGCAGCCTCACAGGGCACTTCTGGGGAAGGTTTGGGAGGTTTTCACACCCTCAGTGACTTGAATTACCCTCTGATGAAAGCAAGTAAGAAAAACAGGAGCCAGGAATCAAGTGCTGGCGCTGCTCTGCCACAAACTCTGAAACCAGCCAGTGCCTCTTATTTCCCCCATTGCCACTCTCCCCAGCTGCAGGAGAAGAAATCTTAAGAAGTGAGTTAAGCACAGCTAGCAAAGAGATGAGAGGCACAGGCAGCTGGTGCCTCCCAACAGGGACATAGATCAAGAAGCAGCTTCCATGTCAAAAGGCTGTAAACAGCCCTAGAAATTGAGTCCAGATTCTGGTGTCAGGTCAGCACTGGGACCTGGGGTATGGGAACTGGGCTGGCGCAGGAGGGGTGCTGCTC